AGCATAACAATCATTTCTTTAAGAATATCAGTGTCAATATTTTTATTATTGTCTGAAGTTTTCTGATTTCTGGAAGTTTTGGCCCAGTTCTTAATACAGAATTACATAGATTTTATATTTACATGTCATGCAATGTTCTGACTTTTTATAAACCTTAAAGGGATTGTAAAGAGTTTTTCAAAATTGTTTATGTGTATCGGTGACACTGATATAGCATCAATTTTTAATCAGACATTTTTGGTTCCTGCAATTCTAATAAAACTCAGCGTATGACGACGGGACCATCGCAAAATTTGCTTGCATCATATAAGGAACTTTGCTATAGAGAGATTATAAAACGCTTAGTTATAGTGGATTTTCAGGAATGGTACAAATGGTCAACAGTGTCCATTCCAATTTTCAATCTGACGTCCATGGTTCCTACAATTCCATAAAAATTAAGTGTTTTATGACATCACTAATCGCAAAATATGTCACAGACGTCTGATTGAAAATTGTGTGGTGTAAATTGATGCTATCAGTGTCCACAATACACATTCAAAATCCAGAAAACCTTTTTACAATCTCTTTAACATGTATTCAGTGTTTTTACAACTAAAATGAACGGGGGCTGTATTTATTGTCAGTAAGGAAAGGCATGAGTTTTTTAAATCAGACTCAAGGGATAATCCTGGATTAATCACTGATTTATATAAGGAATTATAATGGAGATTCATTAGAACATTATGATATTTCAAATAACCTTGCCACATATAAAATGACCCAGGGTTCTGTTTCTCAAAAAAATCTTACCAGTGCCAATTATTGTCGAAAGTATGGAAAATTTTGTCGCATCTCATGATATTTTTAGAGAAACAGGGGCCAGGGGTAAAGGATAACCATTAAAATACCAAATAACATAGAATGTAGATTGATGTTTACAATAAGGATGTAAGTAAGAAGTAATGCTACATAGATTTACATAGTAAGCCATTCTAAAGGGTGTAATGTAACTCAAGAGGTCAAACTAAAACACTGCCAGATATCTTATTAACAATGTAGTGTGATGTTGACATGGAAATCCAAATTGTTGTTGACTATTTTTAGTGGTTAAACAAACAGTGTAAGAATAGGTTAACCTGTGGTTTTAGTCTCCAGTAAAAATTAACTAGATTTTTGTGTTTTCGTGAAAAATATTATCACCTTATTTTAGATGACCTTCAAAATCTTTTTAGATGCTAAAATTTGCAGGGCCCTTTGACATAGACTATATCTTTCTGGTAGTGAAAAGTCACAGGAAGTCTACCTGGAGGATGTAAAGTGACCCAACAGGCCAAGATTTTGGAGTTTTCCTTAAAAATAATCTAATATCATAACCTTTAAAGTGACCTACTAAAATTTTTCTGTATTAAAATTTGTACAGATCTTCTGACACAAGGCCTCTATTTAATGTCACACCTGAAACATCAGGAAGATTTCAGGAAGATTTTCTCCATGTCAGTTCCTCTGACCTATATCACTTGCAGGGAGAAACTAGATTAAAGAATGAAAGGTCAGCTTCCTGGAACTTTAATGGCATGGCATTTGACATATTTCCATCTAATATCAAAAAACAGAAAAACGCTTGAAGACAGAAAGAAAGCTACAAGATTTCATGGTGAAAATAAAAAAAAAGTTGAAAAATTCCCATGGAAGTGACAGTAAAGTGTCTTTAAGTTTCAGATTTTTTTTGCAAGAAAAGGAGTAAAACATCTGTAGAGATGTGCATTTGTTTTTTAACTTTATTTTTGTATAAGTATAAATGGAACAGAATCTGCTGACTGGCTTAAAAATAACTAAAAACTGCCAGGTAAAATTCTCTCCCATTTTGCACTTCGTTACGGGTTTGTTTTTTAAGATTATCCACTAGCCTCAATAACAAGAATTTGTGTTAAATGAATATCAACAGATTTATAACTATAATTTGTCAAAAGATTTATAAGGCAATAAATTAGAGAAGATTATGGTTACTTAGTCAAAAAAAATTGAGTTTCTTCAAGAAAACAGAACATTTACAGCATTGAAAACTTCTAGTCAAGCTCTTGCAGTAAAATAGAATGAATTTCCTGGTTGCACACCTCTATCTATCAGCTGTTCTACCACTCTACATTACAGATGTTTATAATCTAAATGTGTTTTTCTTCTTCTGAACTTTACTTACTCTTAGTTAATATGGTGGTACAAAACACATGACCCTACAGTATGTGCATTATTGACTGATGAACTTGCAATGGAGTTTTACATCCTACAGTTCTGTGTATTATTAATTAGCTTTTCAATGAAAGGAGTTTTCTCATACTATTTTAGATTGGCCAAACCCTTTACATCCTCTCGACAGGAGCCAAAGTAGGTGCAGAAAAGTTGCAATTGTAGTTTTCGTTATGCAATATCAAACAATGATGACAGTAACACGATGTCTGTGACAAAGTTAAGAGATTGGATCAGACACAAACAGAAAGAGATTTATAAAATACACTGTAATAATAATATACTCCATTACGATTGAAAATTATCACATAAGATGGCTAAATTGAGTAGAAATCTTCTTACAGACAGGAAGCTGTCTGACGTCAATATCACAAAAACTTCAGGGACCATTTCGTTAAAAATCTCTTGTTGTTACTAGTCATTTTAATCAACCAATCAGAATACTGAATTATAATTTTCTGTAATCTAATAGACCATAGAAGGGAAATGTTTTGCCAGGACAGCGGCATAAGCCTGCTCTTTTTCAAATTCCATCTGTTGAGGGATCTTTAACGTGCACAAAGAGACACTGGTTTATTGTTACTGCCTCTAGGACTAAACTAACCATTTAAGTCACTGCCCCTTGCCCTGTACATAAGATTGTTAGAGACAGTCTGTAGCACAAGACCTCAATTTCTGATCCTATCTGAATGACTTAACTATTAATGACACTGATCCTCATATACTACACAGCAAAAAATCATTAAGATAACCTGACAGAGACCATATAATTACACAATAATCAATAACAATGTAACAGATTGAATAATAACTACTGGTCTAATCAAGTCTATTTATTGCCTATTGATCTAATCTACAGGTCAATCTAAGGTCATGTTGTTATATTTACTCCTTACAATCTGAAATTCTTGTATTCTTGTTCTAGCATTCCACTATCATTGATCAACTTTTATCAAACTGACTGATTGATGGACAATCTATCGGAAGCATGTGCCCTGGCTGGAATTATTCAAATCTCCAACAAATGAGCAAAAACTGAGCAAATTCTCAGAAACACAGACTGCAGTATCAGATACCTTTTTCAATGCAAAGAGCAAATATTACCCTGTCAATGTGCACTTGCCAACTATGGTATCCAAGAAGGAGCAGGGTTAACCATAGTACAATGGAGATGGTTGATCATAGTTTGACAATTATGTTAAATGGCCTACCATGCTGTTTACAACCATGGTCAACCATAAAGACCTTTTTTCAATTCAAAGAGCAAATCTTAACAATGGCATTGAAAGAGTTGTGTCACCCAACTCCGCCCCCATAGAAAAAAGTCAGAACCCCCCACCCCTCCTCGAACCTCGAACCAGCTATGGAATGCTATCATTGTTATCAAGGAGAATCTTTAATTCTAAATCTTCATTGGAGCTGAAAGTCTCATAATATTGATTAATCTTGTATTATACCATACTGTATTAAACTGACTGAGAGAAAACTCTCGAAAACACAGGCTGTGGCATCAGATTCATATCTTTTCCACTATAAATGCCTTATCTTTATCCTTGGACAAACATAATCAATCAAGTAAATTATAATGATGAAATGCTGCACTATTGATTGATCAATTCTGTATTAACTTGTAGTAAAATGAAGGTCAACTAGTGAAAAGGTCACAAACGAAATGAATGGACTGAGTTATACATCCTGCTCTTTAACACCTGATTTGACTGATTAAGAAGGGCAAGGCCATGCAGTGTGCAATGAGGGAAATTTTGCCATGACAGTTGCATTAACCTACTCTTTTTCGATTTCCAACTGTCGAGGGATCTTTAACGTGCAAAGCCTGTAGCACAGCCACAGGGGGCCTCGGTTTATTGTCCCATCAAAACGACTAGACGCTTTTTCCATGTCAACCCCTCCAACCTGCATCACTGAAAAAGAGAAACCAGGTTGAAATATTCCGCAAGTATTAACTCAACCTTTGCTTGGATTGAACCCCAGAAGTGGAAAAGGTTCCAGTCCTGGAAAATTCCCTCATTGCACACTGCATCCATTATTGATCCAATATGGAGCAGAAAACTAGGAGAAGAAACTCCATTTCATTTGATTTCTAACAGTCACTCGAAAATTCCCTCATTCCACACTGCAGGGCATTGTCTTTCTTCATTAATCAAATCAGGCGCTAAAGTAGGACAAGAAACTCCATTTTATTTGATTTTTAACAGTCTGCAGAATGCAGAATCTGATGAGTGGCATGACAAGTAATTTCATTTACATAATGCAGACGGAACTGTTGAAATTCCCTCCAGGCTTTGACTATGATTAATAGAGTAGAAGGTTGAACAGAAAAAAATCAACATGGCCACATCGGAAGAAAAATATTCAGTCTGTCAGTCCATAATTCTTTACATCCATCCATTATATTCAGTTAATAACTCATCTTTCCATTCCATAGTTACTTTAATCAATATTACGTTCATTAACTCATCTATTTTAATGACTCTTGCATATTTGATCCATTCATTCATTCAATTGTGTCATTTATTAATTCATTCATTCATTCATGCATATCACCTTTCATTTAATCTTTCCTTCATTCATTCATTGACAAGGGCCATATTGTACTAAGTAGGAGTAAATGTGTATCCCATATGATCTTCCATCAGGAGTCAACAACTCAAGCACTACATCTCAACAACTGAATACAGCTTGCCATATGCAACAATTGAATAGATTTTGCCACATGCATCAACTGAGTACAAAATGTTTATCCAACATTATTGAATACAGCTTGCCACATGCAACAACTGAATACAGCTCGCCACATGCAACAACTGAATACAGCTCGCCACATGCTTCAACTGAGTACAGCTCGCCACATGCAACAACTGAATACAGCTTGCCACATGCTTCAACTGAGTACAGCTCGCCACATGCAACAACTGAATACAGCTCGCCACATGCAACAACTGAATACAGCTCGCCACATGCTTCAACTGAGTACAGCTCGCCACATGCAACAACTGAATACAGCTCGCCACATGCAACAACTGAATATAGCTCGCCACATGCAACAACTGAATACAGCTCGCCACATGCTTCAACTGAGTACAAAATGTTTATCCAACATTATTGAATACAACTTGCCACATGCAACAACTGAATACAGCTCGCCACATGCAACAACTGAATACAGCTCGCCACATGCAACAACTGAATACAGCTCGCCACATGCAACAACTGAATACAGCTCGCCACATGCAACAACTGAATACAGCTCGCCACATGCAACAACTGAATATAGCTCGCCACATGCAACAACTGAATACAGCTCGCCACATGCAACAACTGAATACAGCTCGCCACATGCAACAACTGAATACAACTCGCCACATGCAACAACTGAATACAGCTCGCCACATGCAACAACTGAGTACAAAGTGTCCAACATTATTTCATAAATTTTCTTTTTTATTATACTACATCATTTTACTTTCAACATACTGTTTGACTACAATCAAATCAAACCATAAAGACTAGAATAATCTCAATGAACTTGCTTACTTGGCAGGTAAAACCAAACAAAAGCCTGTGGTGTCTGCACCTGATAGTACCTTCAAAAAGTCCACAACACTAAATTTGATCATCATTATCATAATTCATAGTGATGGCCCAAACTTACAAACATATACACATCAGAATTGAAAAAAACAAAAATATGATGTTACGCTATTACACAAACTTCAGCTCTGATATTCATAATCATCACAAAAATTCATAGTGATGGCCCAAACTTACAAAGAACACAGGATTGATAAAATATAAAATAAAATTGTTACGCTATTCAAAATATTATTGTTATTATGAAATAAGGCAGTTATTTATACATTACAGACAGGTGCTATACAAGTTTTTATATAAACTATATCAATTTGTGCATCTGTATTCATAGTGCAGGTGAGCAGGTGATCAGGGCAAACAATAATAGTAGGTTGACAGGTAAACTATCAATAGGGGGGGGGCCTAGTTTATACATTAACAGAAAGATCGTGCTAGACAGCTGTGTTTTGATTATTAAATTTCTTCAGAGTTTAAATTATAATTCATAATAAGTGAAATAAGTTATCCGTTCTAGGAACAGAACGGATGAATTTTTTGTTAAACAGATCTCACACTACATGACAATGTGTCATAGCTTGAGTTTGTGCACAATATCCACATCATAGCAAAATGGCATAGTGTGAAGCCTGCTTAAAGTAAAAAGATACCATTCTGAGACTGAATTCTGGCCAACCTCAAAGTTGGTCCTGAAATGTTGAGAATGTTATCAAAAACTGTTGTTAATTGTAATATTTAAGGTTGAGGAGAAGTAATTAGGTATGAAAATCATCAAGATTCAGGAAATAACCAGGAAGTTGTCAATTTAATTAAGAAATGTGTCGATTGTAGGATAGAAAATAGGTCAAGATATACATGTCATAGAACATGAAGGAACTCATCGTCGTCTACCATTTCTAGGAAATAGTACGCTATGAGGTTCAAAACTTCCTCAAGGCAAAACAAATTTCTATTTTAAGAAACAGGGCGCTATGAGGTTCAAAATTCCCAAGGCAAATCAAATTTCTCTTCTAGGAAACAGGACGCTATGAGGTTCAAAACTTCCTCAAGGCAAATCAAATTGCTCTTCTCAGAAAAAGAGCGCTATGAGGTTCGAAACTTCCTCAAGGCAAATCAAATTTCTGATGCAGTTCAATAACAACAGGGAAAAGGAGAAGTAACATTTTGATTGATTTAATTTTCTTCGAGAAGGTGTATTAATATCAACACAGACTGAATTGAGAGTAGCACTTTAAAAAATCACATGATCAAATAAATTGCATAACAGAAAGCTGTTAGAAGTAGAACTTAATGGGTTTCTCATTACCTATATAGTAGTGGCAGGTGTCACGCTCAAAGCAAACCATGCTGATAGTACTTCTCTTTAGAGGAGTCCACTACTGCACAACATTTACTCTCGATTTTGTCATTCTTTGGACGAGATTTTGATTGATGGAATGGTCTTGCTTGTGATTATATTTCATTATCTCTATCTTTATTTTAGGTTTGAAAACTACAGACAACAATCTAGAGACATGTTTCCCTTTTTTAAACAATCAATATAATATGGGTATCTTTATTTACAATAGATTTATAAAATAACCTTATTAAACAATATAATTTCACCACTTAAAGAGACATCCTATTGAAAAGAATTTAATAACATAAAAAAATGAATTTTAAAAATGAAATAAAAGCCAAGGTTAAAAAATGTTAATCTTATCATCAGGTTGTGATTATTCAGGAGTATAAAAAGCCTTCTCATGTTACGACCTTCCCTAAAATAACATAATACAGTCAACTTCTTTTACACCTTTACTATCTAATATTACTCATATAGTTCACAACCCTGACCTGGCCCTTTTTTATTACAACATCAATTTTAATATGCTTACCATGCTCCAACCCTACCCCCTCTCATTATTTTAATATTAACCCTCACCTGCTCTTTTATTACAATAAGTGTTTAATGATGTCTCTATTCGCTAAGGGCCTTATGTAAAGTCTATTTTGCACTTAGTGATGTCTTCAGTTTAAGTGGAATTACAGGAACTAAAGACATCTGATTAAAAATTGGAATTGTTCAAATTGATGCTATCAGTGTCCCCTCTCTGTAAACCTCTTTACAATCTCTTTAAGACTGATGTATTGGTTTTATAGTATTATATCTCAAGTGCTTATATAGATATTTTAATAGTTAGTAACATAATAAATTACAAAGACTCTACATACTTCAATTGGTATACCTAAACTAACAACTACAAATCAAGTGAACGAGTTTTACGTCCTACTTTTCTGCACTTTATGGGATAATAAAGACAGGCCCTGCAGTATGCAATGAGAGAAATTCTTCCAGCGGCATCAATTTAATCTTAAAGTGATACTACGTCTTAGAATGAACATAAAATTTAAGTTCTGGAAAAGGTCAATATGAGTATATATTCATCAGTTAGCTCAATTGGTGTCAAAGTTAAAACAGATTCCATATAAAAATCTGGAAAATTGGAAAATTCATAAAAATAATTAATTATTGAAAAATGCTTTATCTTGGTATTAAGCGTTTTTCAATTGTTAATTGCATTTTTATGGATAATTACTATCTATCAGATTATATAAGGATTATGTTAAGTTATATATGACACCAGGTATATCTACAGGCTCTTATTCGCCAAGTTTAAAATTCTTAAATTTTATGTTAATTCTAAGACGTAGTATCACATTAATATATAACTACAGATAATAATAAGGATGTAGAAATGAAATGAAGGGAGTTTTACATCCTACTCTTCTGCATCTTATGAGATAATAAAGATAGGCAACGCCATGTAGTATGGGATTTCCTTCCAAGACAGCGGCATTAGCCTACTCTTTTTGATATTCAACTGTCGAGAGATCTGTCAAGTGTATAGCAACTTATATCTACAGATAACAATAGGATGTAACAATAAATTATAAGGACTGCCGATACTTGTAATGCTATTAAAAGAACAAGAGATAACAATGATGTAAGAAAGAGGATATGATATTAGATATGTTGACCTCCTAAATTCATGACAAATTAACTTGTTGTAATTAATGACTCAATGTCATTCTTCTGCCAACAACAGATATAAATTCTGTGTCCAGATATCGGCTTAATCTGTTAACAGACATTAACTTGTTACTAACAACCAACCATAGCACCTAGCTTAGATAAATTTACTTAGTGTACAGGACCAAAAATTATGTTGTGGGTTAACACTCTGGCTGAGTAAAATGATCAAATAATGGATTATTGTCGCTAGGAATCTATATCACAAACACCAGACAATATTATGGAATAAGCACACTTTTTCCATGTATTAAAGAAGTGTGGTTTATTTGATAATATTGTCATGTGTTTATGATATGTACTCCTCACTTCTATATCTCCTTCAGGAATTTATAATTTCGATTATCGCTTATCACAAGTAGTAATCTCTTCCACATAGTTTCCCTTCAGCACATAACATACCCACAATAAACTATAATAACTGATCAAAGCAAGAATATACTACTATAACACAAAAATTACCCATAGAACTAAAAAGTTTGGCATGTTTTTAATTTAGTATTTACAGGGTTTCTCAATTGAAATATTTTGATTATTAATAGATTATTGATCGGTAGTGTCAATTTGGTAATCGAAACCCAGCCCTAGTTAACTCTTTTACATCTTTAAACAGCTTATCATAAGATTCAAGTTCACATTCAGACCAGCAATCTTTCTTTTTCATTCTATTAGTCTGTTTCCAACACAAACACTAATATAATTTTCACTTAAAGACATTTTCCTATTTTGTGCTAGGGACTATTACTATGGCAGATGATATACCCTAACACTCAATGTGATACAATGTTGCACTATATATTTGTACCTATGGACTGATTGTTAGACAGGACCATGTCCTTGTGTATTAGACCTAATTCTGACCATGTAAAATAAAGAGTTTAAGTTTGTCTCCATGGGTTGAATGTTAGACAGGACCATGTCTTTGTGTATTGGACCTAATTCTGACCATGTAAAATAAAGAGTTTTAGTTTGTCCCCATGGGCTGAATGTTAGACAGGACCATAATACATTGATGTAATGGACCTAAATATATTAAAGGTTTAGAGTCAATATCAGGTATGTTTGGTGTATTGGACCTAATTGTGAAATATTCAAATTAAAGGATCTATGATTGTATGGGTTTGAGTGGTGAAATAGAACTAATCTTAAGCCATGTAAAATAAGGGTCTATGTTTGTTTCCATGGACTGAATATTAGATAAGAACATAATACATTGATGTAATGGACCTAAATATATCAAAGGTTTAGAATCAATATCAGGTATATTTGGTGTATATGTGATACAATATTGCACTATGTATACTAATATACCCTACCTACATGTTATAATAATTACAATCTAGTGTACTGTATGACTTTATATAATAATACAACAACTATGTCATATATCAACAATAAGAAACATGTTTATATTTTTCTATAATATATCTCCTAACTTTAATACCACCCCATATCACTGACAGTTACTTATCATACATGTCATTTTAAAGGTTAACATTAGCCTCCTTTAATACTACACTCGAATATCTTTGAATAACATACCATTTTCAGAAAAGCAGAATTGAAAGTTTGCCCTCCTTAATTTTTTCACTAGAACATTTCCAAACTATATTAGAATTTTATAGAAACCAAAGATCGAGGAAGGTGTTCTTTTGATTTTGCATATGTTTAAATCTGAGCTACCAAATTCACTAATTGTAGGCCAGAGAAAATCATTAATATCAATTTGTAGTCCTACCTAGAAGCACTATTAAATTATTT